AATAAATATCACTGAAAAATTAGAAAGGTGGACATAAACCAAAGTTCACATGTTAAACCATGTGTGCCGAGAAAGAGAACGAATAATCTGATGAACCTTAGCTTTGATCGTTTTATACATTTTAATGTAGTAAGACGCAAGCAATTTGTCAGCCATTAATAATAAATACATTATTATATGCGAAATACAGTACGTATCTTACATGTATTTGTTTGCTCAATAGAAAATTTGTTTGATACGTGTGCCTTATGGGGCCCCTTTTTGTGTAAACGACTATTGAAAACTTTTAGTAAAACCAATTTCATTTGTTAAGAGTGTTAATTATGCAAAAGGCATAAAACTTGACCCCTTTATCAAAACTATACATGAACTCAATTTTATTTTAAAATTATACATGAAGTCGTGAATTCGTTTCTCCATGATATTTCTTTAGTCAAATTTAACATAACAATCTACGTGATAAATAACAACGATCGCTTACGTGATTATGGCACGTGGGACCGTTGGCAGGTTAAAAACGTGGACACGAGTATATAAATTATAGTCTCTGTTTCAAATCATATATGAACTTGTAAACTTATTTTCCATCCATTTTAATGTTTCTCGAATTATTGTGTAAGTTATAATATTGCTCACAACTGTAAATTCTTAGTCACTAGAATGCTATACAGAACTATAATATTGTTCATATTTGATAATAGAAAAAGTAGAGTTCAAGAAACTATTTGAAGTCGACCCCTCTTAGAACGGACTTTCGAATATAATAAGAAGCTCCGTATATGGAGAGTGCAAATATAGCTGCATCATAACCGGAAGAATGCAAGAGCTCAGGGGCGGAGCCAGGAATTCATGGTACGGGGGGCAAAAATTTTTAAAAATTTAATGTACGAACTACAAATAAAATTTATATATAATAAGAAAAATTCATAATATAAGTTACCTATCGTAGTTGTACCTGACGATGTTTTAAAGCATAAAATTCATCTACAATAGAATCTAGATCTAAATTCATACTAAATTCTCGCTCAATATTTAGTGTTAAATAATCAGCAAGAAAGCCATCATCCATTTTGTTACGAATTTCCGTCTTCACATATTTCATTGCTGAAAATGCTCACTCCACAGTCGCCGTTGAAACAGGTAGTGTAAGTACTAAACAAATCAATTTAGTCAAAACGACGTAACTCTCCGACCTTCTACTTGCAACAAATTCTCGGCATAAATCAGAAAGTGTAGGTACTTGAAATCGAAGTTCGGAAATCACATCATTCTGATAATGTTGCAACTCAACTTTCAAACAATAAATATCTTGCTATGAAAAATCTTCAGGATAAAACTTCTCTGCAAGCTTGCAAATATTATCAATGTTAAATGATTCAAAAGAATCTTTTGGATCCAAAGCTGCACTGAGAGAAAGGAGTTCTAATGATGTCTCATTAAATCTTGTATCTAACTCCATCATTAGAAAATCAATGGCTGCATTGAAAATATCAAAGTGATAGTGATGTTCAATGGTAGGACACTCACGACCACGAGAACGATCAACCATATACGAAGCATCAAAGTCAGGTACATGTATATCATTTTTTGAGCAAAAACATTTCACCTCTTCAAGAAATTCTTCCCAGCCATCTTCTCTCAATGTTTGAAGGATAGTTTTTGTAGTACGGACAAATCTCATAGCAGTCAAGATGTCTTGAGTTTTCTTCTGAAGGGTCTGACAA